ATCTCCCAGTGACATAGCATCTATAGCATCCTCCACCACACTCCTTTTCTGACAAAAGAAACCTGGAAGCTGAAGCAATGCTGAATAGTATAGGAACTCACGCACTGTTAATGATCCAATAAGAGTAGTTTCTCTGTCAACATATCCCTGCGAATGAGCAAACTTTCCATGTCAGAAGGCAGAAGCTGACAACAACAAAGAAAACTACTGCCCCCTTCGCAACCTACTTGATTCAATTGATGTTTTCTTTCAAAGAGCCCAGAAGTACCAACACCTCTGAACTGTAATTCAAACCAAATAAACTATTCATACTTTATCTTATTTTAATATTAACGTGATGGTTAGCCTACCACCTTAAATGTTTGAGCTATTGCTTTCAATGTGTTAGATTATGTAGATTGTATGTGTGCTCAAACCTATGCAAAATATGGTTTTCATAGCCCCTTGGGCAAGACGGAGAATTGGTTGAGTGGAAAGAACGATTTAATCTAAAGGTTGCGACCAGGAAGGGGTTCAAAGGCCTAAATGCATACCTGCAACTCCTAACTCAACCAGGAAATAAGCAGTTGCATGATTTTTTTGCGCTATTCAAATGGGACAAGAAAATGGGAAAAAGGATTTCCAAAAATCAGTTATATGAAATTATACCATGTCATCGCAGTTGCATGAATTTTTTTCTTCAAATGTGAAAGGACATCTTCTTGCCAAAGGAACCCACAGGTCACTCAACCGGTAGTCATTACTATGATAGTGATTATGATTTTATATTCCAAAAATCAGTTCAGAGTGAACAGCAGCTAATGTGATGTAAAAACTATAAAACAGGAAGTCAAAGTCCAAAGTTCGGACATATATCTTTTCGTATTTGGTATGCAAGCATGACCACAATGATAGTAAACGCTTACAACATACATAGGAACCATAAGGCATGTGCATTTTTGTTCCATTTACAAACACCTCGCCATACATTCTCGCTGAATCAGGTAACCTTCCTAAAAAAGGAAAAGAAAACTAGTTCAGAATCATGCACAAACAACTAAATGCTCTTCTATAAACTGACTGTGAACTGAATACCACAAACCTGCAAGCGCTCTCAAGAGTGTTGATTTCCCTGACTTGGCTGGACCCATGATTACAGTCATTGTTCCAGGTAATGTACAACCATGTGAACTCTTAACCACCTTATCAGAGTATTTTCTTTTTCCCTTTATAGTTACAGTCAAGTCCTTCCAAGCAATAGAAGCCCCTGAAATCTTCCTTGTAACAACTGTCCCCTCCGGTAAACGAGGAGAGGGTAAGGAACCACTATTGATTTTTGACAGGGAAGGGGAGGGTGGCGTAGTCGCAGCATGTATAGAATCTCCTCCTTCGTCGACTTTGACCTCTATATCCGTCTCATCCCAAACAGGTGAATCTTCAAAAGAAATTGGTTGTCTAAATGCACCAGGTTTTCGCAAGTAGAAGAAATTACTTGATGGCACCCTACTAGCAGGACTACTTGCTGAAGATGAGGAAGACCTATAATTATCTGATTGAGACTGTATTTCTTCCATTCTTCAGAATTCTCCAATATATTTCAACTGCTTCTT